GTTTTTTTCTTAAAAAAAAAACAATTTTTTTTTAATTGTTCAATGAATTATTCCTCATAAGCTTTTTTTTTGAATACTGCAATAAATTTCATTCAATGATAAAAATGGGATTATTGATCGAACTTTTTTTGATTAATAAAACGTTTTAGTGCATTTGCAAATGCACATTTTTAAAATGTTTCAAAATAGAGCAAAAAATGAAATATGACTTTTCATTAAAGTAACCAATATTTTGGTGTTAAATGTACTACAAATTTCAGCAGATTTTTAAAGTATTGTCGGGAGAATAAAAAAATCGATAATTCATGGACTTAAAAACCGATGGATTTTAGAGTCATCTTTCAATCAACAATAAGACACATTTTTAAACACCATGAGTCTTTTGATAACTTTCATAACATTTAAAGTAAAATTGGGAGAATTTTTAAAACTCTCAAAACTACTAACACAATCAGTTATAGGAAATTTGAATAACTTCGAAACAATTGAAAAGTTTTTTTATCGTGAAATCTTGAATTAAAAATTTGAAAAATTCCCCGACTAAGGAGACATATTTAACTCAATATCTGTTAGTTAAACGAAAAATTTTCTCTCATTTTGTCGAAAATCTCCTTATTCCAAAATTTCAAGTTTTAAATTTGAAAAGTCGGAATTTCAAAAATTCCTAAAAGATTTCAGCATGTGATATTATGCTTTTAACTTTTTCAACTCATTTCCGCTATTTTTTTCTTTTTATTCATTACATTTTGAGAGGATGAAATTTTGATAGTGTGAATAAACAATACATAAAAAATGCTCAAATAAAAAATGATAAAAAAAAAAAATTGAAGTAAAATGAGTAAAATGAAGAGGAAGAAGAGAAAAAGAATAGGAAGAGAAGAAGAAATAGTTATTGACAATGGCAAAGACTATTTTGATAAATGATGTAGCAAATATTTGATGGGCTTATATGAAACGGTGCACAGCACTTGCAGTATGTGAAATCATCGGGGACAGCAGCCTAAAAAGTTTGATTGTCCCCTTATCAGGATAAATATTAGTCCATTTTCATAAAACTTTTTGCACACCATCTCACTCTTCTTAATGCTTATCTTAAGATAAAATCTGTGAGAACAAGAATAATAGCTACAAAATATTTTCAAAAATATTTCAACCAAACTTTCTTCCTCATCTTTCATCTTTGAGTGCCATTCATCCATCACATCAATCTGTTCACCCCTTTATTCCGCTTATTTTACATTCCTCTTTTGGAATTTACCTTTTATGATATTTTGTCCAAAAAAAAAA